TTTTTTGTGACTTTGAATTTTGTTCTACGTTTTTCTCCAGCTCTGTCTGGAAGAGACTCTACTCTTCTATATAATGGGGTGCTAATATTTATCTTGCAGAGTGACTCTGAGAATTAAATGAGGTCTTCTCTGTAAAAAGGATTTGTGAAGGCTAAGGCACAACAGAAATGTAACAGAGTAGAGCATAGTGACAGGAATACAGGATGCTTTAAGCCATGGGCTCAGGTTCTTGATGGACAAACACTTCTGACCTCACCCGTGCATGTTGAATTTTGTCTGAGGCTCCTGCTCTGGTTACATTCACCCTCCCAGGGGACAGGTTTGCTCTTGTGTGGACTAAATACATCACCTCAAAGATCCAAGCTGTCAGGCCCTGGTAAATAATGTACAGTGGAATCAGACATAGCTGGGCAGCCTTCCCCCACTCAGGGGAAGAGATCTTTCTACCGCTTATCTAAGAATCTTGAAAGCCAAGTTAATAGAATGTGTCTGAGCAGAGTCCATGGGAGGGCTCCTTAGCCAAGTGGGAGGGCTAGCACATGCTTCACAGACATTAACTGGTTATGCCTCACACCCAACCACCCACAGGGGAGGCTGTGTATGTGCAGCCTCTGGGAAGACTGGCTGACTTGCCAGCCTACTCGTTTCCAGTTACGCAGGAAAATTCTCTTCCACAAAACTGGACTTTTTACCTCTTACTAGAAAGCTGTCTCATGTTTGAGATGAAGGCCACATAGGGGAGTGTGGAAAACCTACTTGAAGAGTTGGAGGCAAAGTTGGCCATTCTTTCTTTCTTCAAACCTCTCCCCTTCTTCACCCATCCCTCCCCACCTCCTTCCAACACCCACCTCCTTACATTTTCCCACCCTCTATCCACTCCCGGGCCCAAATCTGCCAAGAGATACTCCCAAGGGAATGGGGATGGGAGTGCTCCTTGGTGCTGGTGAGGGCTTCTTCATTCTTAAAAATATCTGTACCGACTGCTTGTAAGGAGCCGCGCTTATCTTCGTCATCCCTGTACTCATCAGGTATTTGTTGTATGCATGCAGTGAAGACTCCATGGTCAAACACAGCCGACTGGAAACAGCACAGCAACTGTGAGAAACCAAGGTGTCATTTTAGAACTTCAGATGGATTTTTAGCACATTGTAACATGGCCCTAGGGTATTCTTTCTAAGGTAATGCTTCAGAAACTGGGTGGATGCCTAAGAAACCTGTCTCCCACTCCCATGTATTCAGAACTGTCATTTGTTCCCCATTATTCTGCCAAATTCCTCTCCTTCTTATGACTTCATCCCCTGCTGTTATTGACTATTCAGGGCTCAGTCATATTGTCCTAGCCACTGGGCAGGCCCAGACAGCCTGTGGTTTTTCTGAAAGTCAGAGCTCCTGGCGGTCCTATTTGCACAGACAAGACAGGACCTGCCCTGCTCAGCACCTGCCTTTCATTCTAGGTAGACAGCCAGACCTCCCTGGCCCCCAAACTCTCCACTCTGATCCCTACTCTGTCCACATTTTGAATTCTATAATCCCCCTCACCTGGAATCTCTTCCCCATCTTCTTTGCCTGTCCAAACCCTAGACACCCCTCCCTCTTCTGTGCTTCATGGACCTTTTATTCAGATCTCTATTTCAGCACATAAGAGCATTTTGAAGACAAGGACCGTTTCTTGTTCAGCTTTGTTTCTGCAGAACCCAGCAGAGTGCAGAGTACATCATGTGAAATCAATATATGTTGGTTGAACTGAAGGCAGAGTTCAAGTTTCCATTCACCATCTAACAGGTGTTTAGTGAGCTACAAACTATCCAAAAGCCAGTTACCGTCTAGTCAGCTCCAACTCAGGGCGCTCCCAGGTGTGTCAGAGTAGAACTGTGCTCCATAGGGTTTTCAATGACTGATTTTTTGGAAGTAGATTGCCAGGGCTTTCTTCCAAGGTTCCTTTATGCAAAGCTATGAGATAGTTTCTCCTTCTTTTTTATGAATTCTTATGGCCCCTACTGAGTGTTCAGAATCTGCAATGGTTATGGAAGATCCAAATACCCCATGTATCCAAGCATCACAGCCTCTAAGTCATCATCCCAGAATGCTCACCATCCTGGGTTTCCTCTCCTGGAGAATGGGAGCATTCTTCCAAAGCCAGAAGCCCGGGCCTGTCTTGGACTCCTCCCTCTCTTTCACTGTCAACCTTGTCTTCTAAAATGTCTTCAATCCGTCCCCTCCGCTCCATCCATATTCCCACTGTAGAGTTCAGGGCTTCAACATTTTCCACAGAAATTATTACAATCACCTCCAGACCAGTCTTTCTACTTGCAGTCCTATTGCCCTCAAATTTGTTTTCACACTGCCACGAGGGACCATAGTTCTCAGATAAAAATTGCATCATGTCACCTATCTCTTAACATTTTACAAGGATTCCCTGTCACCTACATTAGTGGTTCTCAACCTTTCAGACACAATGCCCCCTTTTCTACAATACATATTTTGTAGCGTCCCTGTTATTCTGTTGAAATAAAATCTATAAATAATACAGTCCAACCACGCACAATATTTTAAATTATCAACATAATGCTGTAACTATAATATATAAAAGAAAAATAATTTATTATAAAATAAGATGTATTTCAAAATATAAATGTCTGAGCACCATCACCCTCTAGCCTTGTCTCTCTTGACAGCGCCATATTCCAACGGTACAAGCCCATCTCACATCATGCCCTGCGACCACTTCCTCTCATTCTCCACCTCATTGATTCATGTTTATGCTTCAAAACGTCCTCACATCTCAGCCCTTCCCACAGGCCTAGAAGTCCCTTTTCTGGGCTGACAAACACCTTGTGCTTTTGTCCGTAATAGTACTTCATCATTTTCAGCCCTTACATATTTAATTAAAACCAAACCAAACCCACTGCTGTTGAGTCAATTCTGACTCATGACAACCTATGTGTTACAGCGTAGAACTGCTCCATAGGGTTTTCTTGACTGTAATCTTTCTGAAAGCAGATTGCCAGGCTTTTCTTCTCTGGAACTGCTGGGAGGGTTCAAACCTCCAACCTTTCAGTTACTAGTAGAGCACAAACGGTTTGCATCACCCAGGGACGTTATATACTTAATTATTACGGTTTTAAAAAACTTTGTATTATGAAAATCTTTAAACATATCAAAAGTAGAGAAAGTAGAATAATGAACTCCCATTTACCCATTTCCACATTTTAACAATTTGTCCTACTGGTTTTATATATCCTCATTGCTTTTTTTCTAATATTTCAAAGCTACTACCTAACATGTTATTTTACCCCCAAAATATTTCCCGTTGTTAAAACAAAAATCATATTAATCCAATTTAATATATGATTTGAAAATCAGGGTAACATTTTGACTAGGGAGTCAAAAATGTCCTGAAGATGAAAAGAACTTCCAAAATTTTTATACCACATCTTATCAGCATTGCCATGGAAACGGGGCCAGAACAGTATTTGTATAACAACAATTTACCCTAAAACACAGCTTCTAGTCTGACCTTGGAGCCTCCGTTACTCAAAACTGACTGCATTAGATACTTCTTCAAAAGAGCCTAATGCCTAAGGCAAACTGGTTTTTATCTAAACTATTTTTTGACTTAAAGGTGACCTTCAGAAGACTATTTTCTTCAAGTCTCAAGGTTCAAAAGGACAATGGCCTGGGTGGGTTACCCCAACCTCGATGAAAGCCAGAAATCTGGATTCCAGGAGAATTAAAACCATTTCTCACCATGAATCTCCAAAATAACATTTTTGTACATAATCATAATGCCATTACTATACCTAACAAAGTTAACAATAGTTTCTTAATATCATCTAAAATTCTGTTTATATTAAAATTTCCCCAATTGTCCTAAATGTCTTTCATGCTTTATTCTCATCAGGATCAAAACAAGGGCCTCACACTGCCATAGATAGTATGCTAAGTATCTTCTAATCCAGAGCAGTCCTCTTCCCTACCCCAACCCTGACCCTTCTTCTCTCATGACTTCTTTGATTCTGAAGAAACAGGCGCTATAGAATGACCCACATTTTGGAAGCGTGTTGCTTTCTTGTGGTATCATTTAAATTGTTCCTCTATCTGCTATCCCCTAATGGCCTACAATCCAGGCACGAGATCTAAATAAAGCCTTTATTAGATTCAAATTCAGTTCTTTTGGTAAGAATAATACCTAGGTGGAGCTATGTGTTTCATATTTTATCACATAATGTTCGACTATCTCACTTTTTATCATAAGATGAACTGGTTTCTTTAGTGGTTGCAGATCATCAAAAGTGTAAAAAACACTAACTCTGTATGGAAAGAAATGATAGTTTTATTGAGGAATACAACTTGAGTTGGGCAGCCCTGAGTAAAATTACAACGTGCTCTAACATTCACAAACGAATGCAGGGTTTTTATACAAGAAGGCTAGCATGACTGCAACCACAAATACACCTTTATTCATATCGGTTAATCTGTTTTCAAATGCATTCTTCCTGAGGACAAGAATCCCCACTTCCTCCAATAATCTGCACACACTTCCTGGAATCTTAACCAAGCAAGCACAACCACACTTGTTTGCAAAACAAGGCTTGTTTATCCGAAAGTGGTGCTCATACTTTACAAGCAGCAGCAGGAGTTTAAAACAAAATGGAGTCAAACCAGACATGTGTCAGCCATTTTAGTTATGCCAAGCACCTCAGTTTTAGAGTGCTCTTTCACAAGATTAATCTTGTCATTGTAAAGTTCCCCATCAAATACCTTAATGGTTTAAGGGTTGTGAAATACTAAGTTCTAATTCATCTTTCCACCTAAATGTATTAGCTGATATTCTTCTACTTCTGAAAAATCAGCCATTGAAAACTCTACGGAGCACAGTTCTACTATGACTCTTATGGGGTCGCCATGAGTCAGAGTCGAATAGTGGTAGTGGTGGATTCTTCTGTAAAGAACTTAGTGTAATAATTGCTTCTTTCTTACCGCCTTACTTTCTCCACTAGCATATACATTGCTCATCAAGGAAAGGACCTTCGAGGCTATTACCCGGGACAGATTGCAAGATTCCATTTTGATTATAGTGCAAAGAGATCTTCCAGGTTTGACATATTCTTAAATCTTAATTTCCAAGAATTTTACCAAATTTAGAATGATAAATGAAAAAAAGGGTGGGGAGGAATACATCGAGTACAGGCAAATGCATAGAGACCAAAGTTTATTAGTTGTTACCAAGGGCAGGTGGGAGGGGGATTTGAGGAGGTATTGCTTAAGGGGTACTGAGTTTCTGTTAAGAGTGATGAAAAAAATTGGAAATGAATAGCGGCGATCGTTGCACAACATGGTGAACATAAATAATGTCACTGAATTGTACATGTAAAAGTGATTGAAATGACAAATGTTTTGTTATGTATATTTTACCACATCACACAGTCTAAACTTAATAGATTAAACTGAAAGTACCTTTAGAGGCCATTCTATTAGATGACTGAAATGTAGCCCAGAGAAGTGAAGCATCCTGCCTGAGGTCACACAGTGGGTGTAAAAGCTAAGACCTGAATCTACCCATATTTTCTGATTCCCAGTTCAAGGTTCTTTGTTCTAACTCAGATACATCCTCATATTAACTTAATAAGCCCCTAATAAGGGGCTATGTCCTCTGCCAGAGGATAGACAAGAAAGGAAATGACAGACCCCACTGCTAGAGGTGCTCATGGCCCAGGTGATCTGACAGTCCTCCTCCCCTCCCCCCTCCTCCACCCCGACCTGAATATCAGTCCTTCTACCAGAGTACCAAAACCCTGGTGGCACAGGGTTATGCGTTTGGTTGCTAACCAAAAGGTCAGCAGTTCAAATTCACCAGCTGCTCCTTGGAAACCCTATGGGGCAGTTCTACTCTGTCCTACAGGGTCACTATGAGTCGCAATCGACTGGACAGCAATAGGTTTTTTTGGTTTTACTAGAGGACGGCTGAATTAGAGAACTTCTACCTGACTCTGACAGGACTTGTGCCTGCCCAAAATTAGCCTTAAGAGGAAAACTAAATGCAAATGTCTATCTACGAGCTTACTAAGCTTCTAGCTAAAAACAGAACAAAACACAGGAAGTAATGCAGTTCTTAGGACCAGTCCTAAGTTTACGTATTGTTGTCATGGCATAATTTGATAGGTGTCTAATAGTTTACCTTCCCCCAGTATATTGCCCCATGAACTTGATGCTTTTAGTATTAGGGTTCCTCCTTTGAGTGAAAGTCTTGTCTTCAGAAAGACATTGATATATTATTTGTAAAGAGAGAGTATTCTGGTTCTCTAGAAATACCCACAGCAGAGGCAGAGGCTGGCTTATTGGTAGAGGTGGCCACCAGGATCTTGTTCAGAAGCCAGAGCTGTCCGTGGCACTTAAGAAGCACATAAGCTGTCAGTGGCACAGAACCCAAACTCACAAGAGACTGACACCCTCACCAGACAGTTAATGTTTTATTGACAGCAGGAGACATACTTTTGTAGCTAAAGAGTACTCCCACCCACAATTTAAGGCACCCGTTCTACAGAATCAAGTACTTGCTGAGCATGAAATAAGAACAAGTAGAGGGAGGTGAGTATTCTCAATGCTTCTCCATGCTTGTCCACACAGACCACCTCTGCCCATTCAGCATCTGTCCCCCATCAGCACTGCACACATTGCCAGATTCTTGTCCTTGCTTTTTCTGAACTATAGGCAGAGCCACTCCATTTCTGCTAATACTTTCTTTTAAAAAAAGGCACATTACAGATAATCAAGTACACATAATTTATTATGAGTAAGCAGTTTCACTCACTTCCCTTCATTTAAGGGTGATTAACTTAATAAGTGATACAATCATGTAAAACTATTCCAGTAACTTTGATTGGATTGATGTTCCTAAATCTCAGCCAAGATTTAATATTTTTCACATCTATAGCAGCTGATTTCATGTCTTTTTTAATTTTTTTTATTGTACTTTAGATGAAGGTTTATAGAATAAATGGTTTCTCATTAAACAATTGGTACACATATTGTTTTATGACATTGGTTAACAACCCCACGACATGTCAACACTGTCCCTTCTCAACCTTGGGTTCCCTATTACCAGCTTTCCTGTCCCCTCCTGCCTGCTAGTCCTTGTCCCTGGACTGTTGTGCCCCATTAGTCTCGTTTTGTTTCATGGGGCTGTCTAATCTTTGGCTGAACAGTGAACCTCGGGAGTGACTTCGTTACTGAGCTAAAAGGATGTCGGGGGGCCATACTCTTGGGGTTTCTGCAGTCTCTGTTAGGCCAGTAAGTCTGGTCTTAAAGTTTAAAAAAACACATTTATTAGAATTTTATACAATTCAACTGAGATCTTTTTTTAAACTTAATAATACATTGTGAACTTTTTTCCATCTCAAAAATTATAATGCTTTTAACGGGAGCATACCATTCCTACATATGTTATGTATCATCGTCTAAATAATTCTTTTTTTTTCTTTACATGAGGGTTGTTTCCATCATAAAAACACTTGGATGAACATTTGTCTTTGTTGACATCTTTTATTGCTGGGACAAAACGTGCATATTTTAAAGGTCTGAATACATTTCATCAGATTATTCTTAAATAGGATGTACCAATGTATACTCCCACAAGTATATGAAGATATTTCGTCATTACATTTTGATTTTTCTTTACTTTGATTTCAGGGGTACTAATCTGGGTGGGAGTATAGGAAGTTTAAAACTGACTTAAGGTTCATCAAACTCAGAGACGCATGGTAGTGGTTACCCATTAACCCATTGCCGTTGAGTAGATTCCGACTCATAGCAACCCTATAGGACAGAGTAGAGCTGCCCCATAGAGTTTCTAAGGAGCACTGGTGTATTCGAACTGCTGTCCTTTTGGTTAACAGCCAAACTCTTAACCATTATGCCACCAGGGTTTCAATGGTAGTGGTTAGTTTGACTAAAAGAAAGCATTGCTCCCTTGAGAAAACCAGACATCCATTGACAAATTATAATAGGAAATGGAACCAGGGAGATCTTGGCAAATCCAGCACAAGGTTTGATGCAGGTGGCTCTCTGTGATTTGCGCACTGGGGAGGAGGAGGGATGCTAAAGGCAAAAATGGCGCTGAATGCTCTGAGCCATCTACTGACAACTTTGCTAGGTCTGCCGTGGGAGCTATGGAGTCTTGCCAATACTGTCTTGTTAGCCTCAAAGCCACTTCCAGGGAATGGATTTCAGCTGATCAGACAATGGAAAGTTTTCCTTCTACTGGGTGTTTAGCAAGCTATTTCTACTTTTATTTAGACCTCTCATAGACTTGACAATTCCATCCAAGGGAAAAAGTCACTATCAGCCTCAATTGGACCAACAAACTCTCATTCGATATATTTGTTTTCGAAGACATTCAAAGCCTGCTGAACCATGGTATAAAGAAACCACTTATCAAAGAGACTATTCTCTACCATTTTACAAGATTGGTAAGTCAACAGCTCTTAGCTCTGAGACAAACCTTGTCTGGGTCCCAGATTAACATCTCCTGTGTACATACCATTCCAGGCGGGCGCTTGGGACCAGCCAAGTTGGAGTAGGGGGGTTATGCCTGGAAGCAGGATGAAGAATGTAGAGGGTTGCTCTCTGGTTCCTACTTCCACCTTTCCTACATTCCCGAATGCAGAATAGCAAGGAAGAAAATGCATAAATGTCCTAGGTAGGAAGCAGACACAAGTCTGAGCACTCCTCACTGAGCCCTTAGTCACACAACAAAATCCTTACTGAAGGAATGTTTTTCCCCCCACTCTATTTATTTTAAATGACTTTATGGCAATTACTTGACATTTGGAGGCATGTTTCAGAAATTCAAAATTCCCTTTGTAGTCTATTTCTCTGTATTGCAGCATGTGTGAGAGAACTGAAGGGGACAGAGGCTCCCCAACAGCTCTGACCCCTGGGGTATACACATGGACATCACTTCACAAATGGCCTGTGTTCCAGTAACCACTGGAACTTTGTATTTTAGTCAGTTGAATGAATTATGTCATTGACAGGATTTCTAAATCAGTAGATCTCAACATTTTGGGGGCACTTACAATGTGGCCTGCATTCAACTGTTAACCGAAAGGTTGGAGGTTTGCATCTACCCAGAAGTACCCAGGAAGAAAGGCTTGAAGAGCTACTTCTGAAAATCAGCCATTGAAAACTCTATGGAGCACAGTTCTACTCTGACATACATGGGGTCGCCATGAGTCAGAATCGACTTGACAGCAACTGATAGTTAAAGATATTGCCAGTGCTTTACCTTCCACCAGAATGGTATCTCAGTTCACCACCCATGAAAGTTTTAACAATTGCACAGGGCCTATCCGTACTCTTCCTACTTCCAGCTGCAGTCACCTTGAAGGCTTGACTAGGGCTGCAGGATCCACTTCCAAGGCTGTTCACTGACGTGGTTGTAAAGTTGGTGCTGGCTGCTGGCTGGAGGTCTCAGTGCCTTTCCATGGGGTCTTTCAATGGGGCTGCTTGAATGTCCTGACAGCATGGCAGCTGGCTTCTCCCAGACTAAACAACCCAAGAGATTAAGGTGGGAACTGCAATGCGTTTTATTACCTAGACTTGAGAACCACATTATCACTTCAGATGTATCGTACTAGTCACGCACAGCCAACGCTGATTCAGTGTGGGAGGGGATTACACAAAGACGTGAACAGCAAGAGCTGAGGATCATTGGGGATCATCTTGGAGGCTGGCACCCACAGTATGATCTGGTCATTTATTTTGTACCCATTATGAACTAAACACTGTGCTATCTGCTGGGGAGACAGTGAGCAGGATGAACAGAATACCTGCTTCCATGGAGCTAACAGTCTGGTGGGAAACATAGAGCATAATCAAGAAAATTTTTAAAAATTACAGATTGTCGTAGAGCCATAGGGGAAATAAAGAGGGCAGTAAGTGTAACTGAAGGAAGTTACTTTAAATAAACAGTCACGGAAAACATGTATACAATGTGACATTTTAGCTGAGCCCTAAAAAATAAGAATGAGGCACGTAAATAGCATTTCAGGCGAAAGGAACAGTTTAAGCGCTAAAGCCTGAAAGCTGGAAAGGGCTTGGCACCTTTGAGGAAGAGAAAGGAGGACAGTGTAGTTGGTGAGGGTGGTAAGGCGACTGGACTTTATTCTAAGAACAATGGGAAGACTTTGAAAGATTTTAAACTAAAGAGTGACTTATTAGTTGTATTTTTAAAAGATCACTGTGGATGCAGTTAATACAACTGTTTGGAGAGGGATAAGAGGGAGAGTATGAAAACCAGTGACAAGTCTGTTCAGTAGGTTTAGACTAGAGATGATGGTGGCTTGGACCAGCAGGGAAGATGAAAAGAAACAAATGGATTCCAGAGATATTTTTGAGGTGACATCAATTGGACTCGCTGATGGATTTCATCCAGTCATACTTATTCCTTCAGTAAATAATTTAAGTGCCTATTATATACGGAGCCCTGGTGGAGCAGTGGTTAAGAGCTAAGCTGCTAACCAAAAGGTTGATAGTTGGAATCCACCAGACGCTCCTTGGAAACTCTATGGGGCAGTTCTCTGTCCTATAGGGTTGCTATAAGTTGGAATCGAAGCAGCAGCAATGAGTTTGGTTTTGGTTTTTTATTATATGCCAGTCACTACGCTAGGTTTTGGCAATGCCATGTGAAGCAAAAATAGACATATGGACTCTATATTCAAGGAGCTTCAGTGGGAGAACCAGTATAGTACATAAAATTCCACCTGCCATAAATAACGTGAAGCAGAGTTTATGTGGTGCTGTGTTTGTTGTTGTTAGCTGCTGTTGAGTCAGTTCTGACTCATGGTGATCCCAAGTGCGCAGAGCAGAAACTGCTCCATAGGGTTTTCAAGTCTGTGACCTTTCAGAAGCAGATCACCAGGTCTTACCTCCGAGGCACCTCTGGGTGGGTTTGAACCATCATCCTTTCACTTAGTAGTCCAGTGCTTAATCATGTGCACTACCTGTGGTGCTATACCAAAAAAACCAAACTCGTTGCCATCAAGTCGATTCCAATGCATAGTGACCCTACAGTAACCCTATAGAAGCATATAATAGGAGGTCAGAGAAGGTGTGCATGAGGAAATGATGAGAGGAGAGCTGAAAGATAAATTGGAAGTTAACTAGGCAAGGAGTGGAGAAAGAGCTTTACAGAGGATGCAGCATGTACAAAGGCCCTGTGGTAGTAAAGAGCATGTCATGTCTGAGGAACTAAAAAATTAATGTGCCAGAGCAGAGAAATCAAGAGGGATCATGGGGCAGAATGCAGCTGGAGAGGTGGTCAAGGCAAGAACAAGACAAGCTCTACAGGTCATTTTTAGGTTTTTGGCCTGTATGCTGTGATTAATGGAAAACAGTTGAAAAGTTTAAGGAGAGATGAAGGGGTACAATTAAAACTGCATTTTGGAAAGATTACTCTGTAACTGTGGGGAAGAAGGGGGCAGGGTAGGGAGTAAAGTGGGGCAAAGATTGAATATAGAGTCTTGAGGCAACTGCAGTGCTGGAAACGAAAGGTTCTTAACTTCAGCTGCACATTAGTATCACTTGATGCCTAGGTCTTAAAAGCTAGTGAGCGGCCATCTAAGATGCATCAATTGGTCCCAACCCACCTAGAGTAAAGGAGAATGAACAACACCAAAGACACAAGGAAAGTAGTAGCCCAAGAGACAGAATGGGCCACGTAAACCAGAGACTACATCAGCCTGAGACCAGAAGAACTAGATGGTGCCTGGCTATCACCAATGTCTGCCTTGACAGGGAACACAATAGAGAGTCCCTGATGGAGCAGGACAAAAGTGGGATGCAGAATTCAAAATCTAGTAAAAAGATCAGACTTAATGGTCTGACTGAGACTGGAGGAACCCCACAGAGTATGACCCCTGGACTCTCTGTCAACCTAGAACTAAAACCATTCCTGAGCCCAACTCTTCAGACAAAAATTAGACTGGACTATGGGACAGAAAATGATACTCATGAAGAGAGTGCTTCTTAGCTCAAGTAGATACATGAAACTAAATGGGCAGCTCCTGTCCGGAGGCAAGATGAGAAGGCAGAGAGGGTCAGGAGCTGGTTGAATGAAATCAGGGTGGAAAGGAGGAGTATGCTGTCACAGTATAGGGAGAGCAATTAGGGTCACATAACAATGTATGTATAAATTTTTGTGTGACAGACTAACCTGAATTGTAAACTTTCACTTAAAGTACAACAATTAAAAAAAGAAAAAAAAAAAAAAAAAAAAAAATCCAGATGCCTAGACTACACCCCATGCCAATTAAATCAGATCTTCTGGGGGGAGTGCGAGCCAAGCATCAATATTTTTTTGAAACTCCCCAGATAAGTCCACGTGCAGCCAAGTTTGAGAACCTGTGGTGTAGGCAACTGACGATGGGTAGTAGCAGTAGCGAAAATTAGATGGATTTGAGAGACGCTTAGGTGGCAATTATTTTATAAAGAATTAGGCAGGCAAAGGTTGATCTGCAAGTGACTTAAAAGAAAAGTTACAGATCAGAGTACTGATAGAGAAGAGAGCAGGGAATGAATCAAGCACTTGTTCACATCAAGAAACTGACCCCTGGAAGTCTTTGGGGAAGGATTTTTTCTGCAGTATAAAATAAAGTAGTAGTAAATTGTTTATCAAAGTGTACGATTGTTTATCTAAACCATTTGTCCAGTCTTTGGGATCAGATTTTAAGGGCAGAGCTTATGTCTAGAGTAGCAACTGTTAGCATTTCATGATCAGTTCTCTGAAGTTTCTTATTTGGAAACTGTTAAAGAACAGATGAAATACAGACCATGATAGACTGTGGTTAGTGCTTAAGAAATTCTTCCTCAGTTAAAATTCTCTCATCATGTATCAATTCATTTACTTATTTTAGAGAACATTTATTAAGCATTGACTATGTGCAAGGCACAATGGGAGATCCTCCAGAGATGCAAGCCATGCTCCCTGGATTAATAAAATGCTAACCATTCTTAACATGAAGAAACCACCAGTTGTCGTCAAGTCGATTCTAACTCATGGTGATACTCTGTGTGTCAGAGTAAAACTGTGTTCCATAGGGTTTTCAAACGGCTGAAATAGATCACCCAGGCCTTTTTTTGGGAGGCACCTCTAGGTGCACTTGAACATCCAACCTTTTGGTTAGCAGCGGAGCACATTAATTGTTTGTACCACCCAGGGACTCCTCTTCATATCAGGAACTGTTTATTTCTTGAAATGTGATAGGAGGTAGAACAGAACCATGAAAAGGAGAGGAACTTTAGAGCCAGAAAGATCCTGGGTCAAACGTGGTTTCCACTTCTTAAAAGCTGGGTGAAATTGGACAAGTTAATTAATTTATTTGAGATGGTGACAGGATCAACATACCTTTGAGAGTTACTAAAAATATTAGAGTTAACATAAATAAAACACCTACAGTGTACAGCGCTGTACGTAATAAAGTTTTTGTTGCAATGCTATCATCGAAACACTCCGGTCTTTGGTTCATTGAACATAAATGCAACAGTTCCTGTATTCAGTGTAAGCCCTCCTTGAGACTTTAGGTAAAGATAAACAGAATTGATAGTGACTGTGGCCAAGAAAACTTGGTAAGACATTAGAGAATTCCAGTGGGTAACACGGTAACAACTTCAATTTGATACTAAGATGATACAAAGCGGCCCACTGATAATGGAGGATTTAAAAGGTTAGGGGTCCGGAATTAAGACACCAAAATGCAAATTCAAGGGATTTATTTCATTTTATTTACATTTTGGTATAATTTAAGAATATGCCTCTTAATCACAGACTGAGCCAAAAAAATAACCTTTTGACTAAGACCTTTTTTTCACATCTTTTAAACAGGTTTCTTTGTATTAAACCCCATAAATTTGTTACTGTGCATAACTGTTGGTAAAAGGACAATGTACTAAAATTTAGGAGCTAGTATTCTTAAAATAAGCCATAATTTGTTTTAAATTGCAGATTGGAACCAGAAATTAGGCACGGTATCATCAAATCCTAGACCACTTAATTCACTGCCAGAGCTCTGCTGCTGTGAAGGAAGAGAAAGATGGCTTTGAAAGAAATGCTTTTAAACTAAAGTAACCATGGCATTCAAACAAAGTAACACCTGGCATTCTTAGGAGACTCTTTTAGACTAAGACAATGGTAGCTGCGCTGCTTTTAAGTGTATATCCAGATGGCTACAATCCTAAAATATTTACAGGTTGCAAATTCTTTTCAGATTAAGCTGGTCAACCTACCTAAGGGAATCAAGATCCAGCTTTAAGAGGCCTTATCTGTTCTTAGCCCCACTACCAGTCTCGCTGCTGGTGCTGGAAAACCATCTTTCAACTAATTCAACAGTTATATGTGGGCCAGTTAAAAATTTAATTGTATCTGCTCAAACTATCATCCCTGTTAAAAAAAAAAAAAAGACACTGGGGACATAACTAAGGAGGAAGCCTACCGGCCCCAGAGGCCTTGAAGAGGCTCTGGACACAGAAACTGGAGCGGCTATACTAATCTCAGGTAGAATCGACTAAAAAACAAAAAATGTCACTAGAAATAAAGAGGGACACTTTATAATAATAAAAGGGTCAATTCCTCAGGAAGATACAATAATTAGCAACATATACACAACTAACAAGACAGCCCCAAAATATATGAAGCAAAAACTGACAGAAATGAAGGAGAAAGAGAAAATTGAAAAACAATAGAGACATCAATACTCACATTTAATAATGGATAGAACAACTAGGCAGAAAACAAGCAAGTATATAGCAGAGTTGAATAACACAAGCAACCAAATTAATCTAGCTGACCTGTATAGCGTACTCCATCCAACAGCAGAGTACTTACTCTTCTCAAGTACATGTGAGACATTCTTCAGAATAGGCTATAAGTCTCAATAAATTTGAAAGGTGTGAAATCATACAAAGTATGTTCTCGGACCATATGGAATTAAATTAGAAATCAACAATAGAAGAAAATGAGGGAAATCCACAAATATCTGAAAATTAAACAACACACTTCTCAATAACCCATGGGCCAAAGAAGAAATCACCAGGAAAATTACAAAATATTTTGAACTAAATGGAAAAAAAAAGGTATCAAAATTGATGGAATGCAGTTAAAGCAATGCTGAAAGGGAAATTTATAGTTTTAAATTGCCTATATTAGAAAAGAAGAAAAATCTCAAATCAATAACGTATGCTTCCACCTTAAGAAACTAGAAAAAGAAGAGCAAACTAAACTCAAAGCAGAGGGAAGGAAGAGTAATAACAATAAATTAAAACTCAGAAAAACAATAGAGAAAAATAACAAAACGAAAAGTTGATTCTTAAAAGAAAATCAATAAAATTGACAAAGCTTTAGCTATATTGACCAAGAAAAAAGTGAGAAGACACAAATTACCAAAATCAGGAATTTACTGGTTGTTCAGACAAAAAAAAAGGAATACTATTAACTATTTGCCAACAAATTGGATAACTTACACAAAATGAACAAATTCTTAGAAAGACACAAATTATCAAAACTGACTCAAGAATAGGACATGTGAATAGACCTATAACAAGCAAAGATATTGAATTAGCAATTTAAAAAGTCCTCCCACAAAGAAAAGCCTAAGCTCTGATAGCTTCACTGATGAATTTGATCAAATATTTAAAGAAGAAATAACAATCCTTTACAAATTCTTCCAGAAAATAGAGAAGAGTACGCTTCCTAATTTATTCTATGAAGCCAGTATTACCCTGATATCAAAGCAAGACAAAGACGTCTTAAGAAAAAAAAAGTCCTACTACAGGCCAATAACTCTCACGAATATAGATGCAAAACTTCTCAAAAAAATATTTGCAAACCAAATCTAGCAACATATAAACCAGGATTTATTACAGAAACATAAGGTTCATTTAACATCTAAAAATCAATTAACTGTTAAGTCAGAAACTGTGAAGTGTTTGAGATGTTACCCTACTTGCACAGAAACACCAGCCCACTGAATCAGATTAAACCTTTATTACTCACAGCAATAGCAATAGCCAGAGTAACACTGTAGTGCCAGTTCCCCACATCCAATTCCCCACAGGGGGCCATGTAAGGTAACATATTCACATCTTAGGGTAAGAACATCTTTTAAAAAGAAAAAAAAAAACCCTCCAAATCCATTATCATCAAGTTGATTCTGACTCATGGAGACTTTGGGAGGCTATTATTCTGCCTACCACAATTATTAAAATGGCAATTCTTCCCAAATTGATCTCTAGATTCAACACAATCTCTATCAAAATTCAGCAGGCTTTTTTTTTTTTTTTTTTAATTGACAAGCTGCATCTAAAATTTTTATGGAATGCAAAAGACTCAGAATAACAAAAACAATCTAGAAAAAGAATAACAAATTTGGAGGACTTACACTCCCCAATTTCAAAACACACCACAAAGTTACAGTATTTAAAAAAGTATGGTACTAACATTGTTATTGTTGTTGTTAGGTGCTGTTGAGTTGGCTCTGACTCATGGCGACCTCATCTGTGCAGAGTAGAACTGTACTTCATAGGGATTTTTAAGGCTGTGTGACCTTCAGAAGCAGATTGCCAGTCCTTTCTTCTGAGGTGCCTTTGGGTGGGTTTGAATTGCCAACCTTTTGGCTAGTAGTTGAGTGCTTAACCGAAGGACAGATATATAAATCAAAGATGCCAGGCAATTCAATGGGGAAAGGATAGTCTCCTCAGCAATTGGTTCTGGGACAATTAAATATCCACATACAAAAAGATACATTTAGACCCTTACCTCACACCATACACAGAAATCAACTCAAAATGGATCATAGGCCTAAATGTGAGAGCTAAACTATAAAAATTTTAGAATAAAACATAAGAGAGCATCTTCATGATCTTGAGTTAGGCAAAAATTTCTTAGATACAACACCAAAAACACAATCTATAAAATAATATATATATTTATAAATTTGACTTAATCAAAATTTAAAGCTTTTGCACTTCAAAAGACACCACTAAAAAATTGAAATGACAAGCCACAGATGGGAGAAAATATTTCTGATTTATGTATTTGATAAGGAGTCCCTGGGTGGTGCAAACAATAAGTACTCTGTTACTAACTGAAAGGTTGGTGGTTTGAAACCACCCAGAGGCGCCTCAGAAGATCACAGCCATTGAAAACTCTACGGAGTGCAGTTCTACTCTGAAACACATGGGGTCGCTGTATGCTCTAGCTGCATTGTACATGCACGCAGGCTGTGCCACAAACTTCCAGGCAGCCATAAGACTGCTAGGAATGAGGCAAGTACATCCACCCACTGGCATCAACCATTCCATGGGTGCTATGTTCATCTGTGATGGAGCCAGACACACGAGACACTTACACAGTGTTGACAAAGTGAAAGCCATTATTATTTACAGAAACCAAACAGTAAACAATAACAACAGATTCCCAAAGGGGAAACGCTTACCCTTCCCAGACTACCCATGTCCATTCCTATGTCGCTGGGCAGGCGCGCTATGGTTCAAGTCAGACGCTATGTTCACGTCACCGCTGCCTCTGGCTACAGCCACACTGCCCGAGGCTTCTGCTCTGCCGCTGGACCTCGCTGGGCCTCGCCTAGAGGGGCAGGAAGACCCCTGCACAGGATTTCCCATGCCTCTGCTGCCAGCTACCGCCACACTGCCTGCGCCTGCGGGGCTGTCTTGCCACCACACTGCCCGGGGCCATGCTGTCTGGCGTTGCGGGGTGGGGGTGTGCAACCCCTGCCTGGAGCGCAGTCAGGTCTCTCTTGCGCTGCACAAACAAGTGTTCAGCTCTTTCAGTTCTACTGGCAAGCCTCCTACCCTGAGGCATCCGGCTGCCCCCTGCTGTAAGAAGGCCTCTGCTTAGGATCCTCTGAGGCAACGCCCGCATGTGGCACGCTGAGGCCTGTGCCCTGCCCGGGCAAGTGTTACACCTCTTTTAGCTTCCTCCAGCAAGCCGCCTGCCCAAAGGCGCTTAGCTCTCCCTCTGTAGGCCCACAAACCCACCGCCCTTGTCTGTTGCCATCTTGCGCCGGCTTCAGTGTTACAGCTCTCTCTTGCGGGTCTAGGAAGTTCTCAGCGAAAGCATCCGGGTTCAAACGATGCGCCCCGCTCCACACTCTTCTTGAGGGTAGTGAGGTCCCCCTAAACCTCTGCGGGATTGGCCCATATATAAACTTACTCCTTGTCAATTTCAAGGCATGGTCCTCCCACCAGGACCACCAACTGACCAATCCCTTTTGTAGACCAGAAGTCACTTAATTTGCATAGTCCCAGACAATTATTTTGTGGAAGTTACAAGACCATGGCTAGAAAGGTTATATAAGAGCAATTCATTGCACTGCAGTCACCATGAGTCAGAATTGCTTAACAGCAACTTTTTTTTAATATCTGATAACTCATATCCAGAATATATTATGGACTCTGATAATCCAAAAACAAATAATTAAAAAATGGGCCACAAGCACATGAAAGGTTGCTCAAAGGGCATTAGTCACTTGGAAAATGCAAATCAAAATCACCGCAAGATACTACTTCACCTCTACTAGATGGTTTTTATCAGAAAAACGGAAAACAAGTGTTGGCCAGGATGTGGAGAAATGGATCTTTCATTCATCGTTGGTGGGATTAAGATGATGCAGCTGCCGTGGAGAACAGTTTAAGGTTTCTCAAAAAGCTAAACATAGAAGTAGCAGATGGCCCAGTGATTCCACTCCTAGGTATATACCCACAGAAACCCTGGTGGTGTGGTGGTTAAGTGCTACAGCTGCTAACCAAAAGCTTGGCAGTTCGAATCCACCAGGCACTTCTTGGAAAAACTCTACAGGGCAGTTCTACTCTGTCCTATAGGGTTGCTATGAGTTGGAATTGACTCGACGCAACGGGTTACGGGTATATACCCAAAAGACATGAAAGTAGGGACACAAACAGATGCATACCAATGTTCACTGCTGTGCTATTCACAGTAGTCAAAAGGTGGAAACAGCCCAGATGTCCATCAACAGATGAATGAATAAATAATATGTGGTATTTCCATACAATGGAATATTATTCAGCCATAAAGAGAAATGAAGTCCTTATACACACCACACATGGATGAACCTTAAAAACCATTACCCTGAGTGGAATAAATCAGACACAACAGGACAAATATATGAACCCACATATATGAAATATCTCTAGACCAAAGTTTATTAGTGGCTACCAGGGGTGCATAAGAGGGAGAAAAGGGGAGTTATTGCTTAATGAGCACCGAGTTTCTGCTAAGGGCGATGAAAAATTTGGAAATGGATAGTGGTGATTGTTGCACAACACGGTGAATGTAATTAACGTCACTGAATTATACATGTGAAAAATGTTGAAATGGCAAATGTTTTGTTATATATATTTTTACCACAATTAAAAAGAAAAAAACAAGCGGACGAAAATGGGCAAATATTTTAATAGACATTTCACCAAAGAAGTTATATAAATGGCCATGAAAAGATGTTGGAACATCATTAGTCACATTAGGAAAATGCAAATTAAAACCCAATTAAACAACGCTACACTCATTAGAATGGCTATAATCCAAAGTCAGACAATAACAAGTGGTAAAAAGGATGTGGAAAAATATATATATACTGTTGGTGGGAAACTATGCAGTCACTTTGAAGTTTCTTAAGAAGTTAAAACATAAATTACTTTATGACCCAGCAGTTTCACTCCTAGGTCTACCCAAGAGAAATGAAAACATGTCCACGCAAAGATTTACATGCAAATGTTCAGAGCAGCATAATTCCTAACAGCCAAAAACTGGAAACAACCCAAGCGTCTATAAACAGATGAATGGATGAACAAAATATGGTACATCCATACCAAACCAAAAACCAAACCCACTGCCGTTGAGTAGATTCCAACTCATAGCAACCCTGTAGGACAGAGTAGAACTGCCCCATACGGTTTCCAAGGCTATAAATCTTTACTGAAGCAGACTGCCACATCT